TTAATGTGGTAAAATATCTCTCTATATAAAACCCTAATATGCAAATAGACCAAACAGCGGAACAACAGAACAACTGGTCGCTACGATGTGCACTGACCACCAGGGGGCGCGTGCAGAACATTGTGGGCATCGCCTGCGGCGAGATGGTGGAGCAGGTGAGCAGGGGCGCCAGACCAAGGCGAGGTGCTGGTCGCTGTCATTGGGGTGAGCCTCTAGTGCAGTGGTTGGCAAACCGCGGCTCGCAAGCCACATGTGGCTCTTTGGCCTCTTGAGTGTGGCTCTTCCACAAAATACCACGTGCGAGTGTGCACTTACAGTGCGATTGAAACTTCGTGGCCCATGCGCAGAAGTCGGTTTTCGGCCTGGGCGAGTCTATTTTGAAGAAGTGGCGTTAGTGTCATGATTTAATTTTATGGATATTGTAAGGAATTTAATTTTATCAATAAATAATATCGTTATTAAGTATGATATCAAGTTTTATTCAACGTACCTATAGTTTAACTAAGACTTAACACTTTAAGTAAAGTTTATTAAGTTAATTTTAGGGAACGTTGTGGAGTGAAAGAAGATGTAGTGTTGAGGATTGAGAAAGGTATGTTGAGATGGGTTGGACATATAGAGAGGATGAGCGAAAGGAGAGAGACGAAACAAGTATACAAGACGAGTGTGGATGGGAGAGTTGGAAGGGGTCAACCTCAGCCAATGTACCTCAATTAATAACAACGTACCTACCTATATAGTTTAAGTTTAAAAAATTTGGCTCTCAAAAGAAATTTCAATCGTTGTACTGTTGATATTTGGCTCTGCTGACTAATGAGTTTGCCGGCCACTGCTCTAGCGTTTACTGAAAATTCTTTGCTCCCATGCGCTGAGGTCCTGCTGGGTGATTGCACCTGCTGCCGGCACTGACCCTGCTCTCACCCCACTGCCGGTGCCCAGTGCTGATCACTCAGCACCATCAGTGGGTATGAGCGGTGACTGCCAGCTCCAATCGCCCCTGAGGGCTTCTTCACCTCCCCCTGCTCCTGAGGGGTGATCGGGGCAGCAGCCGCCGCTCGCTCGCACCTGCTGACGGCACCAGCCTCAATTGCTCTGCGCCGTTAGCATGTAGGAGCAGCAGCAGCGGGAGCTGGGCTGCCAGCAGACAGGGGACCGGGGCCGTGGAGGGAGGGGCCGCGGAGGTTGGGCCGAGATCAGCCCCTGTGCCCACAGCAGCCTCACGGCCCACAGTTCCTTTCAAGGTGCATGAATTCATGCACTGGGCCCCTAGTATATAATAAAATTTACCATTTTAACCACGTGTAAGTGCACAGTTCAATGGTGTAAATACACCAATAATGTACTACCACCACCACCACCATCTCCAGAACTTTTTCATCCTGTAAAACTGAAACTCTGTCCCCATTAAACCCTCACTCTCCCTCCCTAGACACTGGCACCCACCCTTCTACTCTCTGATTTTGACAACTCTAAGCACCTCATAAATTGGAATCATGTAGCAATTGTCTTTTTTGTGACTTATTCCATTTAGCATAATGTCAAGATCAATCCATATGCATGTGTCACAATTTTCTTCCTTTTTTATGCTGAATAATATTCAATTTTATGTACTTATCACATTTTGTTTATCCATTCATCTGTTGATGGGCACTTGGTTGGCTTCCATGTTTTAGCTACTGTGAATAATGCTGCTGTGAATATGGGTGTGCAAATATCTGTTCATGTCCTTGCTTTCAATTCTTTTAGGTGTATACCCAGGTGCAGAATAGCCAGATCATATGGTAATTGTTTTTTTAGGAACCTCCATGTTGTTTTACATCTGCACCATTTTATTCCCACCAACAATGCACCAGGGTTCTGATTTCTCCACATTCTCACCAACAATTCCCGTGTTTTTTTTTTTTTTAATTTTTTATTGATTTCAGGGAGGAAGGAAGAGGGAGATAGAAACATCAATGATGAAGAGAATCATTGATCAGCCTGCAACCCAGGCATATGCCCTGACCAGGAATCGAACTGTGACCTCCTGGTTCATAGGTCAACACTCAACCACTGAGCCATGTCAGCCAGGCTACTTCGTTTTTTTATTTTGTTAATCGTACTTGAAGATATATGTTCCACTGATTTTCAGAGATTGTGGGAGGAAAAGAGGGAGGGACAGAGGGAGGGAGGGACGGAGGGAGGAAGGGGAGAGAGAGAAATATCAATGTGAGAGAGACACATCAATTGAGTGCCTCCTGCATGCACCCTAACCAGGCCAGGATTGAACCTACAACTGAGGTACATGCCTTTGACCAGGAATCGAACCTGTGACCTCTGTACTGGGTCGATGCTCTGACCACTGAGCAACACCAGCCAGGGCTTATTTTTTTTTTATAGTATCCATTCTAACAAGTGTGAGGTGGTATCTCATAGCTGTGACTTGCATTTCCCTGATGATTAGTGATATTGAGCATCTTTAAGTGTACTCATTGGTCAATTTATCTCTAGTGAAATGTTTATTCAAGCCCTTTGCCCATTTTTGAATCAAGTTGCTTTTTTTTTGTTTAGTTTTAGGACTTCTCTATATATTCTGCATACTAATCCCTTAACAGATGTGTGATTTTCAAATATTTTATCTCATTCTGTGGGTTGCCATTTTACTCTGTTGATAGTTTTGATGCACAAATTTAAAAAATTTCAAGTCCGACTGTCCTTTTTGTTGTTGCTGCTTGGGCCTTTGGTGACCTACCTAAGAAGTCATTGCCAAGTCCAGTGTCATGAAGTTTGGGCCCTAGTTTTCTTGTAAGAGATTAAGGTCTTGCCCTAGCTGGCTTGGCTTAGTGGATAGAGCGTCGGCCTGCAGACTGAAGGGTCCCGGGTTCAATTCCGGACAAGGGCACATGCCTGGGTTGCGGGCTGGATCCCCACTGGGGGGTGTGCAGGAGGCAGCCAATCAATGATTCTCTCTCATCATTGATGTTTCTATCTCTCTCTCTCCTTCTCCCTTCCTCTCTGAAATCAATAAAGAAATTAAAAAAAAAGAGAGATTAAGGTCTTACATTTAGGTCCTTGATCCATTTTGAGTTCACTTTGTATATGGTGTGAGGTAAGGGTCAGTTTCCCCCTGCATGTGGATGTCCAGTTTTCCCAACACCATGTGTTGACACCCTTGCCAAAAATTACTTGACCGTGTATGTGAGGGCTTTCTGGGCTCTCTATTCTGCTGAATACTCAAGGGAGACCTTCTGCAGACCTCCCTCTGCCACTCTGGTACTCAAGCTGCCTGTCTCCTGCCTTCCAGCTACAGAGAAAATCCCTCCATCACTAGGCCCAGCTGGGCTCACCCACACACATAGACAGGCAGGCCAGATGTGCAGATCCCCAACCTCACACATAAATCATGTGTATGTACATTATGTCTGTGCACATGCCCAGGTGCATAGCACCCACCTCTCAGGGCCTACATGAGACCTGCTTAGAAGACCCCGGGCTCAGTGACCTCACTCCTGTTGCCCCGCTGTTGGGAGCCCAGTGGAAGCAACAGCAGACACACTGCCCTCACAAACACTGGTTTCCAGGTGTGAGGGCACTTGCAGCCCCACATGCGAAATCCCCCCAGAGCCATAAAGCTGGCAGTCACTCAAACAGGGCGCTGTGAGGCCCGCTGACCAGGATCCTTTACACATTATCCCACCGGCGCAAGCAGCCCCGGGTGAGAGCCCCGGGTGGGGAGGTGATGTGGGGCTGACCTGGCGGATGAGGGCCATTTCCCGGCTCAGCCTAGGGCTTCCCCTGTGTGTGTGTGTGGGGGGGGGGCGGGGGCAGGATGTACATGGTCTCAAGCCCGTCCTGAAGGGGTCTTCTGTTTCACCCGAGCCCGTTTTAGCCGGCTGCCCTGCACACTGTCACAGGGGCTCTAGCTGTGCAGTCTGGGGTTTTCCCATTTTCTTTATTGATGGGTCTTGGCACCAGGACTCTGGAGGGCCGGAGCGGGGCGGTGGGAGCGGGGCGGCGGTCCTGGGAGCGGTCGGAGGGTGCAGCGCAAGGGCTGTGGGCTTTGGTTCTGAC